CAGGTATCTCACCCGCCGCTCGTCGCCACATCGCGCCCTCTCCGCCTTCATACGTAGGATAGAATTTTTATGACTTGCGACTAACGAATTACTGGGACTTACAATTTGCGTGATTTATGAAACACCTATACCAACACTGGCACAATCCAACCGTGTGTTTTCACCCTGCCTCTAGCACGGGTCAAGTTCATTAGGAACTTCACACTCAGGTACAGGGTGCAAACGATCATGCGCGTATTTGTACGTTTCATTACTATTCAAGGCCTTCAGGTGATCTATCACCGTTCAGCACCTTCAGAATTTTAAATAGCCCTTTGAATTTAGGGGCTAGCTTCGTCTGATTACGCTCGTAATTGTAAATCAGAATGAAGTCACTAACAGAGACAGTCCTGTAGTATAAGATTGGAGGTTCTGGATACAGATTCCTGCATCGACATAATACCGACACTCCAGAGCCTTTGAAGGTGGGTGTCCGTGCTAAGTTGCCGTCGTAAGCTCTACGGTTTCTGGAAGTGACGTCATCAGGACCCCTCGATTCCAAGAATTTTCGTTCGATTCCGGGAATTTTGCGCTTGATTCTAGGAATTACGCACGATCGAGAACCTTCTAGAACATTCTGGAAGCTTCGCGACGGTTCGTGTCCGTGCTAAGTAGGGAAGGATCGCTTCTAGAGCCGGCGGTCCTCTCGCGCGACGTTTTGAGGCAGCCCCTTGCCCCCCACCCCGTAAAGCCTTCCAGAAGCTTCGACGGGGCCTATGCAGGTTTCGGACAGCAGCCCTCAGCTCGTTTGACCTCGAACGTTATCACGCGGAATTGCGCAGCATCGCTGATGCAGTTCTACAGGAAGTTTCCAGAACTTTTGTCCCTAACCTTGAACCTTAGTGCGTAGCATCGGTGAATCAGAGAGACAGAGAGAGAGAGAGAGAGAGAGAGAGAGAGAGAGAGAGAGATAGAGTCAATCTATATATAGGATACATAGATACACCTACCTACCTTCCCATGTATTTTACATGCGGGTGAAGTGCAGGATAGATGCAAACCAGCGTGGCTGCATTTCATAACAAGCTACAAATACACGTAAACGGGGGTAGCCAAAGCGACGAGGGATCGTCTCTCTTGTTTGTCTCTACCTATTCCCCTTTCCATGCAGGTGTCGGACGGCCGGCGACTCGATCTCGAACGTTATATCGCAGTGGTCGTGCGTCAGCCTCCTCATCCCACTGAGGGGCTTCGAGAATCCCCCATCCCCCGATTCGTCAGCCTCCTCATCCCACTGAGAAGCTTCGCGAATTCCCCATCCCCCAGCCTCGTGCGAGAGCACCGGCGAGTTCAAAGTCATTCTAGAATTATCTATGTATCGGTTGTTCGAATGCGCAATACCGAACGTTATCTCGCAGAGTCGTGCGTCGAGAATGCGGTCCCTCATTCCCCCGACAACTTCGTCGTCGTCGTCGGAGGGCTAAGGGATATTCCGGAAGACGCACGAACCTTGACATCGATTCCAGGAATCTCTGTAGGCGATTCGATTCCTAGAAATCTGCGAAACCTCCCATCCCCATTTTAGCCCTTGAAAGTTTCCTACAATAGGAGGAGCTGAACGTACCTTCGTTAGTTTGCTGCAACAATTTGGTTGATGCCGAATGAGAGGAAACAACGCAAGTTCGAGTACAGTTACTGTTAAGGAATATCACAGAAGTCAAACAGTTGATTGAAGTTAGAAGAGGTCGTAAAAATCTTATAATAAATTTGAAGAAACTCGATATTAATTGAACGCAATGGGCCTTTCAAATATCGACAAAGTTGGTCGTTTTGACACATTTCTTCCAACGAAAAAGTTGGCAGAATTAGAGGTTCAAAAGGAATGCAAGATTAGTTGTATTCGGAAAATTGAAACGAAATACGGAACAAGATTAATCGTCGACATCGAGAATAGCTTCTCGACATTTCTATCAGCAAAAATGTCTAAAGTCTTGAAAGACGATAACAATTTGTTTCAAAACATGGTGCGTGCTGACGACGAAGATAGACTTCTCATGCGTTACTTAGGCGGAAAGTACAATCAGATTGAGTTTCAATGTTTGTAATCGTGCTCTTAATACTACTATGTATACGTGTTAAATAAATATACAACTTGTTATTATAACTTATGTCTTTATTCATAAGCAAAAATGCATTCCAACAACCAATTTAACATTGAAAATGGGAGGCATGATGATGCGAACAGCGAGTGAGTAAGTTCTTTCGCAGATTTTGCAGCGAAGGGCATTCCAGATTTCCCAGATCCACGATGTGTTTGGTTCGTCTCATGAAAGTTCCCAACCAAACTTTCTTCTTCAATCCTTTCACATAGATCTTAGATGCATTTTGCAGAATAACTCGAAGAATGTTTTTAGCTTGACTGTAAGCAATGTCCCCAGCGCTCCAGGATATACCATGAAAATTGCGCTCCAACCATAAATTTATACTTTTGTATTTAGCCGGTAGATGTTTCCATGGATAAGGTGGTTGAAACAGGAACGTTGCAGGCTCGGGGAAATTACTGCCGATTCCAATCACGGATAGCTCCTTCAGGACGAACTCGTTCGAGGGTTTCTTAAAACCTTGTACGTCCTCGATGAATTCCATTTTTTTTTATGAACTGCACAGGGGGCTACGATTACAGCGTCTTTATACCAATTTCCTCACCCCACCACTGATCGGGTTGTATTCCACTATACGATCGTGCAGTATCAGGCAGAATGTCGATGTATCGGCAGGGAAATTGTCTTGCGCCTCGAATTCCAGACGAATATCGACGGGTCCGAGTTTGAGGGACTTGTTTTGTTTGGAGCAATCGATAACGATCAATGGAGCGTACTCGAGAAATTCATTCTTCTTAAGCAAAGGCTCGGCCATAGTACGTAGCTTGAAAGTTTATATACATCTCGTACAGCAGGGCAAACTGATTATGATCAATGTCAAGATTCAGATTTCCGTAGGGATAACATTGCGAGTTCAGGAAGAGCTAAACGTTTCTGCCGTTGCAGTGGCCAAAGTGACTAACGTTCTTATTTTTCTTGTTCTTTCTGCTCGTCTGGAAACCCAGTATCACGAGTAGAGGGTACTCGTACAGCTCCCAGGTACGAAAGCTCAGGAAGATGGGTGCATCCACCTCGATGAATTTCAGCAGTTGTATCTTTCGTCGATCGGACACCTTTACGTACGGTATCAGCCATTCCAATTTATGAATTACGACTTTGCATTCTTCCGGAGCTGTTTGTACTATTGCATTGACATCGCTCTTTGCTCTCGTCAGAATCAACTCGTGTTTAGCGTTAACGATGATCTTGCGATAATCTTCAGCGAAACCCAGTATCATACTCAGCGGAATGGATACGTCGAAGTAACCATCCGCATTGGTCATCTTCTCTTGTTCTCTGACGTCGAGCCAACCGGCGTTCTCCATCAACGATCGTTGACTGGGACTCAGGGAAGCATATTCCTTCATGAGACTCGTGAGACCCACGTTCTTGTTCCGATCGATCTCTATAGCATTCATTTCATAGCGAATCTCCTCGAAGAGATGGCAAATGGCATTGTTCGTCGTGCTCGCAGTCGCTGTGGACCCATTTTTCTTGACCAGCTTTCCATACACGTGCAGCGAACTTTTGCTCGGTAGTAAGCATAGGTCTTGATGTTGAACGGAGTCCATGGACAAGGCGGTTGAAATAGGAACGTTGCAGGTTCGGAGAAATTGTTGTCGACTCCAATCACGGATAGCTCCTTCAGGACGAACTCGTTCGAGGGTTTCTTGAAACCTTGTACGTCCACGATAAATTCCATTTTTTTATGAACTGCACAGGGGCCACGATTAAAGCGTCTTTATACCAATTTCTTCACGCCACTACTGATCGGGTTGTATTTCACTATACGATCGTGCAGGATCAGGCAGAATGCCGATGTATCGGCAGGGAAATTGTCTTGCGCTTCGAATTCCAGACGAATATCGACGGGTCCGAGTTTGAGGGACTCGTTTTGTTTGGAGCAATCGATAACGATCAATGGAGCGTACTCGAGAAATTCATTCTTCTTAAGCAAAGGCTCGGGATCTTTGCCATAGTACGTAGCTTGAAAGTTTACATACATCTCGTAGAGCAGGGCAAACTGATTATGATCAATGTCAAGATTCAGATTTCCATAGGGATAACATTGCGAATTCAAAAGGAGCTTAACGTCTCTGATGTTGCAGTGGTCAAAGTGACTAGCGTTCTTATTTTTCTTATTCTTTCTGCTCGTCTGAAAACCCAGTATCACGTATCGTGGTTTCTCCAACTGAGTTGACGTCTTGACGGTCCACACGTGTTTCGAAGTGGTGGGGAGTAGATGGTACTCGTACAGCTCCCAGGTACGGAAGCTTAGGGAGATGGGTGCATCCCTCTCGATGAATTTCAGCAGTTGTATTTTTCGTCGATCCGACACCTTTACGTACGGTATCAACCGTTCCAATTTGTGAATTACGACTTTGCATTCTTCCGCAGCAGTTTGCATTATTGCATTGACATCGCTCTTTGCTCTCGTCAGAATCAACTCGTGTTTAGCGTTAACGATGATCTTGCGATAATCTTCAGCGAAACCCAGTATCATACTCAGCGGAATGGATACGTCGAAGTAACCATCCGCATTGGTCAACTTCTCCCGTTCTCTGACGTCGAGCCAACCGGCGTTCTCCATCAAGGATCTTTGGCCGGGACTCAGGGAAACATATCCCTTCATGAGACTCGTGAGACCGACGTTCTTGTTTCGATCGATCTCTATAGCATTCATTTCGTAGCGAATCTCCTCGAAGAGATGGCAAATGGCATTGTTTACCAGAGTCGTGCTCGCAGTCGCTGTGGACCCATTTTCCTTGACCAGCTTTCCATACACGTGCAGCGAACTTTTGCTCGGTAGTAAGCATAGGTCTTGATGTTGAACGGAGATTCGAACCTCGTCACTATTGTTGAACGATGACGAGGCGTAAAGTTGATGCGCATGCGTTTCATAGTGTGCTATAGATTCATCGAAGATGATCGGTGTCTGAATGTTCAGCGTTTCTTCCTCCATGGTACGCGGCAGACGAAAAGAACGCAACAGAATAAACGCTTTACTTTCCTCTCGTGACCTTGAATCCTAGATTTTCCAGAAACAAGACGTTTCAACGTGTTAGCGCCTTGAGAAGCGGTTGACGACTGATCCCCCTTTGGCATATCGGCCCACTATTATAACCATTGACGATTTTTCTATTATAGACGATACCCATTATCGCATGGATCTGACGTGCAGCCTGATCGTTATGACTTCTCCTTGAAAATTCACCAGATCCACGTCTTGATCGACTATTCGCAGATGCATCTTGAGAAGCGGTCGACGACTAATCCCTCTTTGGCATATCGGCCTACTATTATAACCATTGACGATTTTTCTATTATAGACGATACTCATTATCGCATGCATCTGACGTGCAGCCTAATCGTTATGACTTCTCCTTGAAAATTCACCAGATCCCCGTCTTGATCGACTATTCGCAGCTGCAGGTGATCTATCGTCTTGGTAGCGATTGGTAGATAAATGACGTGAAAATTCACCAGATCCCCGTCTTGATCGACTATTCGCAGCTGCAGGTGATCTATCGTCTTGGTAGCGATCGGTAGATAAATGACGTGTGATGGCACCTCTATGATCTTGTATCCGGGTGGCACGACCGGAAAGAATTCGTGTATTGTGTGCACTTTACGTTCGTTGATGTAAGCGCCCGTCGTGACGTTGCATTCGACTCGTAGGGCGTTCACCTTGAGAATGGCTACCGGTACGTCGGACGTGTGTAATTTATTAGCCTTCAGCACGCCTTGAGTGAAGCTCAGCAAGCGACCTATGGAATCGTTGGGTCGAAAGTCGACATCACGCTTGCACTTAATTTCGCTGCACAACGTATTATTGTTAGGTTTAATCTGAATGACGATGCTCTTGTCCGTCAACGCGCTATGCACGTAGTTTTCGATATCTTCGATCTCGTAGCTACCAGTGGGTATAGTGATAACTTCATCCCCCACGTAGAGCTTGTTGTGATCCGTGTCCACGTTGGGAATGGAATTGAAGGTCAGCAACTCGATGAGCCCCAGAGCGTAATTTTTGTACGGGGAAAGCTCGATAGGAGGAAAGTATCCGGCTTCCAGCACGGAGGAGGTGCCTGATAAAGTCAACGTGAATGAATCTTCCATGATTGCGAACGTTCGACTGACCTTGCGAAATTACATAGCAAGCTTATATAGACGATACTTGTTTTTACGATTTAATTGTCCGCATAGGAACTTTAGGCACAAGTGTCCACATGCAAAAGTATCGTACTGCTGATATCTACCACTGCCGGCGTGGTAGTTTCACTTCAAGTTTTTTGGCTTCAGATGAAGGCCTAGTCCTTTTTCGTAGGGTTTCAAGTACAGTTCTTTGCCTAACGCAATGGCTTATATCGTCTCGTTGTGCCTCTGACTTTCCTTCAGTTGTTCCTTCCTTGCATTCGCATCGTTCACGGCTTTGGCTATACCTGCAGCACCGCCAGCCAACGCTCCAGCGACGCTGAGACCCGCAAACACGGGGACAAGAAACGGCAGGAAGCCTCCGACTTTGGACAGTACGGGTAGAATGCGCGGTGTGCGGACGTTGTGCTTTCCATCTTCTCGTTTGACGATAGCTTGTGCACCCTTGAGAGTAGATCTGATAACTACTCCCGCATCGTTGCTAGGAATCATCGATCGTTTGGCTTCCTCGATGACTTTCCTCAGCGTTACAGTCTTTGGCTTCTTCTTCTTGAGTCCCATACCGAGTTTCGACTTGGCACCCATTACGTTCGCTACGGACCAGGCCGCCGCCTTCTCGGCGAGACTCGCGTCTTTGGCGAAAACGCGCTTCCAAGCTTTGTCGGCCGGTACCCTGTCCGCCGCCCCTCTGTGTTCGAGATTCTCTCGATTCTTCGAATGGGCGATGTCGTGCTCTTTGCAGGCTGCGTCCAGGGGGTTGATGCCCGAATCGCCACGCGCGAGTCTCCTTGCTAGTTTCGTACCAGACCCGCAGTACTGATAACCGGGTATATGTAACTCAACGGGTAGACTGTTGATGATTCTGTTGACCAATCCTCTGCCACGATGAGATTTTTTCCTCCCAATGCGTGTACGCTTAAAATGCACGATCATGTTCCTGCGGTGAAACAGTTCCGACTGAACACTGATCCTTATAAACTAGTCA